CCATGCGTGCCATCAGATCCAAAGTTGTGTGAGAAAAGTTGATAGTGCCGTCCACTTTTTGCAGTGGTCTGCAAATTTGGGCCACAAAGGCAGCAACCAAACGATCTAGATATTGCGAATCCAGCCAATTCGCAAAATGTTGCACTGAGGAAATTGTATGTTTTTTGCACGCTGCAAATCTGTCAGCGATCCCACACAGCCATCCAATGCTCGCATGTGCAAACTCGTTTGAAACATTACCTTCAATGAGAGCACGCACCACTTGTTCCAGTGCATTACCCACAAACCATTCTTTCAGAACGTCAACTGCACGGGCAATGCCCGCGCGAGATTCAACGCTTTGAAAAGCTGTCAAGCCTCCTCCAAGCACCGCAAGCGCCATCGTTGGATTGTTCCCGCATATTTTTGCACTTGTTTCAAAGTACATGGAAATAGTCTTGTCCGCCTGATGTTTTGTCGAGTCCATACCAGTTGCATCTGTCAAAAGTCCTGCTATGGCATGTTGAGCTATCCATCCAGCCTGCATTGGCTGCCCCGTGTGCAACAAATCATCCCAAGCGTTGTGCTGGCGGATCACGTCGATGAATATCTCAACTGATTTGGACCAGCCTTGTGCGCCATTCAATGCATAGTGTATGCCTTCCAATGTTGAACAATCAAATGTCCAGGGTTGCAATTCCATTCGTGGCATGGCTGAAACATGGCCGTCATGGGACATTTGAGCCAAGTCTCTCGAAACACGCAGCACTCAATTAATAGGCCGCCCTACCCCCCCGGACGTGTGTGCAATTCTTTGCACGTCTTATTTGTCACGTGTGGCCCTCCGCGCATCGCAACACTTCTCCATCACGAACGCGATTCTGCACGTAACAAAGAAGCATATGCAACATCAGGAGAGGCATGATTAGCACAGGGAACATCTTGTGATGCGTCGCTGCCTGCCACGGAGATGCATGATAACACACGCGTATTGCTAGGTGGCGGCTGTTTGGGCACCCCAAGGGGTGCCAGCACTCGCAAAACAGCATCCAGTGAAGCTGCGTCAGCATCAACCATCGCCACCAAAACCGTTGCCCCTGGGGGAACGCCTGCCACCCAGAACTGCACCGGCGTCAGGTCTTCAGAATCCAATCGGAAATGTCTTGCGGCAGTTTGGCCTTGCAGCTTCACAAAAAGACCCGACACATCAGGGCCAGATTCTTCAAAAATAGATGTGGAGTCTCGCAGGGACACAAACTTTGAGTCAAGTGATATGCCGCACGTGGCAGTCAGCTTGTTCAGGGCATTGGACTGCTCGCCTTTGTCGCTTTTCTCTGCTTCCACCCACCAGCCACCTCTTGAAGTTCGACGCCAGGCCGTGTGCTTCAAAAGCGTTTCCGTCCGAGGCATGGACAAGGTGGGCGCAGGCGATGGTTTGCAATGTCCCGCTGACATGAGACTTGACCGAAGATCAATCCCAAGCTCTTCCTCCAACGATGCGTAAATGTCAAACCATTTAGAAAGGCACAGTGAGAGTATGTTCATGGCACCTTGATTGACGGCTTCTGGTATATGCAGCACCTCTGGGTAACCCTTTGAGGTTCTGCAGTACTCACCATCTTCCGTCAGCTCCATGCCTGCCAGGTCCCAGCTGCCAGTGACCTGCTTCTGTGACTCAAACTTTGCCCGATCACGCTTGACCCACAGCCAGTACCCCATGAACTCTTCAGCAAATAGGTGCACATACTCGTCGTCACGGCATCTGCTTGGCCAGAAGTCCCTCCACTTGTCGTCAAGTACGCGATGCCAAGGTTTGGCAGTCGGCTTCCCAGAGTAGTGGATGACTTTTATCTCCTCCGGTGTGTGCAGCAGGTTTGCCCTCTCGGCATACTGAGCCCTATCAGGATGCAAGGCAAAAAACATTTGATGCAGCTGGAAATTGTATTGTACACCAATGTATGTCCACGGAGCATCTGCCCAAAAACGGCTTAAATAGTCCTGCTCAGGACCATTGCCTCTTACATGCTCTGGGTGATTTGGCTCACTGAGTTCTGCGAGCATCTGCTCCAGCACTTCTTGGTTCGGCTGCCAAAGCATGACTCCCGCATTGATACCTGTTCCCTGGCCCCATGACCATCGCGGCATAGATTTGTCTTCGCCTAACAAAAATGAGCGTCCATCGATTGGCTCTCCATGGCAGTTCCTGCCCCACTCATTCATGCCGCGCCGTAGTGCTGCAGGAGCTGGCAAATCAAAAAGCTCATCGATGTTGGACATCACCAAAAGGTCAATATCCATCATGAGAACTTTCTCATACTCTGTAAGTCCCAGACCGCGCAATTTTGTAAAAACGTTAGCAAACCGCTCCTCCCTGTCAGGAAAGCTCAGTTGCTCCAAAACCGCATCAACATGATCAATACATTTGCAGCGCCAAAACTTGGACAGCAGTCTGATATACTCCTTCGGAACGTCTTCTGTATACATACATACACGGTCGTGTTTGGAGCCTGTTCTTTGAATGGAGGATCCCAGAACCAGTGCACCTGCGATATACTCTGGAGATGATCCCCACAAGCAAATCAAGTAGGCAAATCTTCCCTTTGCTTCCGGGTGTATGAGCTGAGGCGTCTCCGGCCCAGCAAGCTGGATGTCCAAAGGCCGCTTGCAGCAGGGACATGGCGCACGCCAGCCATGAGCACAAGGCTTAGCGTACTTCACGCCGCTCCGCTTCAGAGGAGCCGAGATGCGCAGGTGCACATAACCCCGCAAATGCTGCAACATCGTCCAGCCAGCCCTGGCAGCCAGCGCCAGCATCAACCAGGCAAGCGTGGGACGAAGCCCTGCTAAGCGCTCACTGCCAAAGCGCTTTGCACTGACTACAGCAGCGAGAATTTGAACAAGCATCTGCTTCACATGGCTCTGTGCCTGCTTCGATCCCATGACAGTTTCAGGCATCGCTAAACAAATGCAGCTACAGCGCAGCGCACTGAGGGTTACTGCCTAATTCCACAGAAGCCACATTCAAAGTAGCATTTGACAATTTAATCAGCAAGATGCGCATTGTACGATGGATCGCTTCATTGTATGCCCTTCTGCTGTTTATTATGCTGTTCTACCAAGCCAAATTTGCATCCAACATGTCGCAGGCAGCCTAGTGTCAACTGCTGGGAATGCAAATGATCAGAAAGGACAGTCCAACCTCTTTGTTCTATCCTCACTGCGCCGGCATCGCGCTGTTCGAACGCATGCCGATTCATGGCTGTCTTACGTGGATTTGCTCTTGACTTCACCACAGTCAACGATGGTCACCTCAACAACCATGATCTCGGCCAAGCCACGACACAAATTGAGGTCCATGCTTTCTGCTTTGGCGTGCCACCACCTGTGCCTGGGAGCTGCTGAGCTGCATCAATCTTACTCGCACCAGGTGGCACACCGGTTGCGCCCATTTTTGTCACCACATCCTCGGTTGAGCCACTCAGCTCACCCATGAAAGCTGAAAGCTGGAAAGCTTGGGACCAGACCATGCCACTGATCACGTGACCAAAGACCACATGCTTTCCGTCAAGATGTGGGCCTTTGAGACTTTGGAGACTTGTCCATGTCTATCTTCTCGTGCAAAGCAGTTTCGCTTCTTTGTTCCCCAGAACGCCCAAGCACAGTCGCAATGTAGGGGTCGTGCAAGCTGCCAGGGTGACAAAGAACTGTGACCCGTTCGTATCCTTCAAGAATGCTCATTGCTCAGGAAACCGCTTTTTGTGAACAAACAGTGACAGGAAATGCAACATGCAGTCACGGGCCTTGCCAGCATTGGCCATTGACAGCAACCCAGCTTTGTTATGCCTTCAGTCTGGTAAATCGATTGCAAGTAAACACGTGGGTGGAACGACAACCGAACCGCGTCGACATGTTCGGCCCCAAGCGTGATGAAGCCACTGTCCCACTCATCTTCAAACTTCTCTCCATAGATGGACCTGGACATGCAATGTGCATGACAGTTGCACTCACGGACAGGCCAGGCTGAATTTCTGAGCAGCAGGCTCACCACCGGTTCCATTTGCTTTTGTGAAATCCTTGGTCAGCGGTCCAATGCTTGAACACACAAGTCGCTTGAACTCTGAATGCACAGCGTGCAACAGGCAAACGGCTCGAGTAGTACCATTCCATGCTGAGCCAGCTGCCCCGCCCTGGCACATGAAGCCAGGGATGATGCGATGGAAAATGCTGCCTGAAGCCAGGAAGCTTGTAAAGTTACTGGCCCCACATGCTCTGAGCCAAGATGTCACGCTTGCCCATGCCTTTGAAGGCCAATGGCTTCCCGGACTTGCCTTTGCCCTGATCAGCACGCAAAGGTCGGCTCAACGTCTGTGAGCTTTCTGACGCCTGCCTTCTCTCCGGTGCACAAGCAGCGGAAGTTCCTAGCAGCCCCGACAACCCCCCAACTCCTGTAGCCCGGTCAGACTAGCTTTGCTTTGTCATCCCGACATGATGCACAGGCAGGCCAAGTTGCTCTGCTGTTTTGGGATAGCTCTTGGCAAAAAGCTCCATCTCGATCTGCCAAGCTGGGCTTTGCTGTGGCCAGCAGGTGAAATTTTTAAGAGCCGCGCACGCTCGGGCTCATCTTCGCCAATCTGCACGCTAAAAAACACCTGGCGCAGTTGAGGGCTGCGATTTGATCAAACCACCCTCCCCACCAACAATAAAACACATATAATTAAAAAAACACGACAGAGCCCACGAACCCGAATGCACATCACTTTACAAAAGTTGCCATTTTCCAGCTAAAGCTGGAAGCCTGTACTTCGCGTGCTTCGCGACTGCTTCGCGTACTAGACTTATACTGCAAAGTTGCGATTTGCCAGCTAAAGCTGGAAACCTGCACTTCGCGTACTATACTTGTGCTACAAATTTGCGATTTTCCAGCTAGAGCTGGAAACCTGTATTTCGCGTGCTAGACTTGCAATTCAAAGTTGCGATTTTCCAGCTAGCGGCGCTTCTGAGCCTCTGACCGGCCGTTCAACGGACACTTCTGAACACTCTTCGACACAACACCCGCGAGCGACTTTTGTCAGGTGACACTTCTGAGCGATAACTTCAGCGACACTTCTGAACACGCTTGCAAGCGGTAAGTCGGATTACGCTCCTAAGCGACACCTCTGATTGCCACATCTAAGCGCCTCGCGACTATTTCGGCAAACTGAGCGATACTTCTACACACAAACATAAGCAACACTTCTGAGCAGCACTTCAAGCAACACTTGAGCAGACACACACACACACACACACACACACAGAGGCAAGCGACGCTTTTGAGCGACACTCCTGAGCGACACATCGAGCGACGTTTCTACACACGTATCGAAGAGACACTCTTGCGAGACACTCCCGAGCGACACTTCTGAGGGACACCTCTGACACTTCTGAGCAACACTTGGCGGCACTCCTGAGCGACACGTCTGAGCCACATTTCCACAAACACACCAGCGACACTTCTGAGCGGCACTCCTGAGCGACGATTCGAGCGACATTTCTACACACATAACACCACTGAGCGACGCTTCTGAGCGACACCACTGAGCATCCCTGAGCGACACTTTTGCTCACACCTGTGAGCGACACATCTGATCCACACTTCTGAGCAACACTTCTGATCGAAACTTCTGAGCGATACTTCCGAGCAACATGTCTGATTGACACTTCTGAGCGACAATGAGTGATATCCCTGAGCGACACTTTGATCGCAACTCTGAGCGACTTCTGGTCGACACTTCTGAGAAACCTTCCAAGCAACACTTGTGACCGACACTTCTGAGCGGCACTTCTAAGCAGCACTTCTGAGCAAACACACACACACACACACATGTAAGCGACTCTTTTGAGCAACAGTCTTGGGCGACAATTCGAGCGACATTTCTACACACATATCTCAGAGACCCTTTTGAGCGACACTCCCGGGCGACACTTCTGAGCGACACCTTTGAACAACACTTCTGAGCAACACTGAGAGGCACTCCTGAGCGACACTTCTGAAGACACCTCTCTGAGCGACACTTCTGAGCCGCATTTCCACACACACACACACACACCAGCGACACTTCTGAGCGGCACTCCTGAGCGACGATTCGACACTTCTACACATACCTCAGCGATAGCCTGAGAGACACTTCTGAGCGACGCCTCTGAGCAACGACACTTCTGAGCAACACTTTTGAGTCACACCTCTGAGCGACACGTGACATTTCTGATCCCCCACTTTCACACTTCTGCTCGACACTTTTTTCTGATCGACGCTTCCGAGCAACACTTCTGATCGACACTTCTGATCGACACTTCTGATCGACACTTCTGAGCGACACTTCTGATCGACACTTCTGATCGACACTTCTGAGTAACACTTCTGACCCACACTTCGGATCCACACTTCTGATCGACAGTTCTGATTAACACGCCTGATCAACACTTCTGATTCAATCTGCTCATCGACACTTCTGGTCAACGGTTCTGAGCAACGCTTCTGACCCACACTTCTGACTGAGACTTCTGAGCGACACCTCTGAACAACACTTCTGAGCCACACTTCTGATCCACAGTTCTGAGCAACACTTCTGATCAACACGCCTGAGCAACACTACTCAAAAAAAACTTCATAGCGACACTTCTTCATCACAACTTCTGATCCACACTTCCGAGCAACACCGAGCGACATTTCTGCGAGGCACTTCTGATCGATACTTTTAACATTTCTGAATAACACTTCTGAGCACGACAATCCCGAGCAACACTTCTGACCAACACACTTCTGGTCGACACTTTCTGTGATCGACACTTCTGAGCGATACTTCTGACTGGCGCTTCTGAGCAACACTTCTGAGTAACACTTCTGATCGATACTTCTGCGCGACACGTGCAACGCTTCTGATTGACACTTCTGAGCAACACATCTGAGCGCACTTCGATCGACACTTCTGATCCATTCGTCTGGTAGACAATTCTGAGCAACACTTCTGAGTAACACTTCTGATCGACACTTCTGAGCACACTTCTGATCGACACTTCTGATCGACACTTCTGGCAACACTTCGCTTCTGACTCACACGTGTGAGCAACATGTCTGAGCAACGCTTCTGATCGATGCTTCTAATCAGCACTTCCGAGCAACACTTCTGATCGACACCTCTCAGCAACACTTCTGAGCAACACGTCTGATCGACAGTTCTGAGCAACACTTCTGCTCAACACGTCTGATCCACACTGCTCATCAACACTTCATAGCGACACTTCCGAGCAGCACTTCTGGTCGACACTTCTGATCGATACTTCTGAGCAACACTTCTGAGCAAAGGTCTCTCGCCACGTCTCTTGTCTCAAAATGCGCACCAACCTTGCGATCTCAAAGCGCGCACAGCGCCACAGCAAGAGCGATTCGACCCACCCAAAGTGCGCACAGGGTTCACTTTGCCTTTCACAATGCCAGTGCGAGCAGTTCGACCCACCCAAAGTGCGCAAAGGGCTCGCTTCGCGTTCGCAAACTGTGCACCGCGCCACAGCGAGAGCGATTCGACCCACCCAAAGTGCGCACAGGGTCCACTTTGAAACTTTCACAATGCCAGTGTGAGCGATTCGACCCACCCAAAGTGCGCAAAGGGTTCACTTTGCCAGTTCAAAATGTGCAGCGCGCCTCAGCGAGAGCGATTTGACCCACCCAAAGTGCGCAGAGAGTTCACTTTGCATTTTCAAAATGTGCGCCGCGCCACAGCAAGAGCGATTCGACCCACCCAAAGTGCGCAGAGGGTTCACTTTGCATTCACTTTGCATTTTCAAAATGTGCGCAGCGAAATGACACGTCGAGCTTGAGAAGCTACGATTCGCGCACAGGGCCAACGAAAACTGCACATCACAAGTCATCAAACTCACGCGTTCTGCGCTTCCCCACTGGCAGAGCCATAGCGCAATCATACGAGAACGATTGCAGACGGTTGCGGACGGTCGCGGACGGCTCACAACATCCGGCGAACAAGGCTTCACCCCCAGACCCCCAAGATGAAACGAGAACCCTATGCTACGCGTTCCGGAACTAGAGGACGACTGGCCCGAAAGCATTGTTTCCCACTATTTTGGGGGAATCGTTCAGACCCCGACGCTTCAGGCACACACACACACACGCGAAAACCATACACATGTCCCTGCGTGCCCCTTACTCACTGCGCACGTCTCTCTGCGCAGGTTCCTCTCCGCACGTTGCTCTGCGCAGGTTGCCTGTGCAAGTTGCTGAGAGCAAGACCTCTGCGCAAGTTGCTCGGCAACTTGCTCGGTGCAAGTTGCCCTGAAAGTTGCTCTGTGGGAATTGCTCTGTGCAAGTTTACCTTCGCAAGTTCCATCTGCTAGTTTCAGCGGTTTGCTCAATGCACTGCAGCCTTTTGATCTCAAACGTTGCGGCTCTAGCCACAGCCTGCCCGCGGACAAGGGGGGAATCAAACCCGAGACTTGCCAATTTCGAGAACACAAACCAGGAGACAACTTCCAACGACTCACTCGCGAGCATCAAAAAGTAGGAAAAGTCATCAGCACATCGACCACGCCGATCCGCGCAAGAGTCGCTCGACATAAAGTAGCAAAAGCCCTATTTTTTGCCAAAGGTCGTGAGGGCATGTCCAAAAACAAAGAAAGCCCGCAATGTTTGCACATCGGCCACGCCAATCCCCCTAGAGAGTTGGAATCCCAAGCAGTGCCGACGGCCCCACCCCGCCGCCTTAAAAGCTAAACAAAAAGCAAGTTCTCTAAGCGAGCTCTGTGAGCAAGTTGTCTCTGAGCAAGTTCTCTGAGCAAGCTTCTCTGAGCAACTTCTCCGGGCAAGTTCTCTTGAGCAAGTTCCCTGAGCAAGTTTCGCTCAGCAAGTTCCTCTGAGCAAGTTGTCTCTGAGCAAGCTTCTCTGAGCAACTTCTCCGGGCAAGTTCTCTGAGCAAGTTCCCTGAGCAAGTTTCGCTCAGCAAGTTCCTCTGAGCAAGTTGTCTCTGAGCAAGTTCTCTGAGCAAGCTTCTCTGAGCAACTTCTCCGGGCAAGTTCTCTGAGCAAGTTCCCTGAGCAAGCTTCTCTGAGCAACTTCTCCGGGCAAGTTCGCTGAGCAAGTTCCCTGAGCAAGTTTCTCTGAGCAAGTTCTCTGTGCAATTTGGCCCAAGGGCTCCACACGAAACAACCCTTCGCGACGCTGTTGGGAAAAAATGATCCAACCAGCTCCTTCGGGTTCTCCTCAGATGCTGCTTCAGAGATAGGCAGCTCCTGCAACGCTTTGACAGCCATTTGCAAACCGCAAACGGTCCTCTGAGCAGAATCTCAATGCTTGCGCACTGCATTGTCCTTCATGTTGGAGGCTCCGCTCTTGCCAAAATAGCTCTGGAGGAATTGGAAGGCGACCATGCAAAGCAAAGCAATCCTGAAGAATGGCCACTATTGCTTGCAACCAGCTTTTGAATTCTGAAGCCGGGGGGAGTTTTATTTTTGCAAACCAGAAGCTGCGCTTGCCATCATTTTGCTTGCATCTGTGCTGGCAACATCAGCGTGGGATTTGCTGCACTGGCGCGACAAGGAAAGGATGCTCACGACAATACACAGTTTGCCAACCATTTGAAGCTGCCTCTAGCAGGGCAAGTCTCAAGGCATCAACTACGCTCTCCAAGTGCCGGGCGGCATCGGATTAGCCGTGGCTTGCTCCCACGCCCACTCCAGACCTTCAGCAGGGGGGCTCACCTCCGCAGGTGTGCCACGGGCCAGCACCAGCTGCACTGCACGCAACCTCCATGAGCTCCAGCTCAAAAAAGAGGGCTGCATTGGCAGGGATGGCACCTCACTCTTGTGGGCTTCAGGCGTCCTTTGCCAGCTCAACTCAGACCCTGACTGCCTGCCCCTTTGGGTCCATATGCTATCCTCGGCCAGGCATGGCACTGAAGAGGAACCAGCAGAATGATTCAGGAGGTGCTGCTGCTCCGCATATGAGGATGGAACTGGCTGGGGATCCAAATCTTCCAAGTGTCGCCAGGCCTCATCCTTAGCTTCCGTCATTCCATCAGGCAAGCCCATGAACAGAGACCATCCGAGGGTCCGACATCAGCAAGGCCTGGCAAAACTGGACAGCGCGACGGCAGCATTGGTTCTGCGCTTTCAGCTGTGTCCATGTGTAATTGGTGCCTGCCTCCTTGAAGCCTGGCATCAATGCTGATGGCTTGAAGGTAGCAGGTGCGCCACGCTTATGAGAGCTGTCAAACCTTGGCTATGTCAAATGAGCAGAAAAAATCAACATACCTTACTGCGGGCACCTCAGCTTAACTTGCTCGCACCCTTTGCCAATTCAATCTTGGACATCGCCTGTCACGTTGAGAAGAAACATGGCGCCTTCTGGGGCATGCACTCTGATCCGTTCAACAAAGATCCGCGGTAATGCACCACCTGGTTTGGCAAGCAAGCAACGTACTTTGAGCACGCAGTGAGATGAACCCATGTCGGGACAACATAAGCATCAGCAACGCCTTTTCTTCACCGCTGCGAAAGGGACACCAAGCTCTGAGCTGTGGCTTTTGGCCAACGTTCTTTGCAAAGAAAGTTGCAAAGACCGGCGCCGTCACTGCTTGGCCTCCCAAATTGCGAAGCTCAGCTCTAATTTCGGACAAATCAAATGTAACGCTAACAGGCGGCTGACACGATGCCTTCTTTTTTGCGGCTCCATCTTGTGATGCTTTCCTCTTTCCTGCCAAGCTATCGCCTGCCCCATGGCTACCTGCAAATGCTGCCGACAGTCCTGTCACCTTGGCTGGCCCTAAGCTTGGCGATGTTGCAGTCAGGCAGGGCGACTTTGGCACCATCACAGGGGACCTTTGCAAGTCAGCAAGCATGCCAAAACGCGACAAGGCACCAAACGCTACGACACTAAGATTTGCGTTCATGCCGGGCAGAATGCTTCACCTTGTGTAAGTTAAGAGTTTCAAGCAAAGCGTCTCACGAGAAGTAATCAAAGTGCAAGATATGCATAACTGTGTTGTAGTTGTTGCATTCTTTGAAAATACTGACGCTAATGAGCAACTTGCCATGCATGATCAGAAGCATACAATGCTTGCACAAGGTTGCACCCATCTCCGCTTCCTCGCAGCGACTCCAAAATGCACTGAAATCGCCCAGTTCTGGCAGCCAACCTCTTATCTTGTGGAACTGTGCGCCTGCTTGTGGCACACATGATTGCAACAGGGAGGGAACCCCCTCGTGAACCTGCCTGGTGTCATTTGGTAGCACTCAGCTTCTTGCTTTCCGACCCAGCTTCCGGCATCCCCAGCTTTAGCTTTGGGCAAAAGCACGCCTACGCTAAGGCGACCACTGGGGTTGGCTTTTTGGGCTCTTTGGGCCCACTCTGGCGCTCTTGGGAAGGACCGCCAGGAACCCGCCACGGAAGTCACGCTCGTCCCTAGGTACCACCTGCCAAGTAGCGGCTATCACTGCCAAGACGTTTGCAGACCTGGCCTTGCAGTACTCCATCCACGCCTTTAAAATGTGCTTCTCCCAAACCTGCCAAGGCTGAGCCTTGCTGGCAATACGTCTGTGAGCACAACTCGGGACGAAGCAAAGGCAAAAAGTTGCGAGTTCTAAAGGTAAGCGGCTTGCAGGACAAAAGCAGCACAAGAATAGTGGCAACGTGCCTTCTTATCTGGAATGGAAGGCGGTTCAAGCTGATCCGGCAGCCTAGCACAGGGAAAGCATTGGCAAGCCGAAGCAGCTTAAAACCAAACCGGCCTAATCATGAAGCCGCCTTTCTGATCATCCAGCAACCTTAGCATCATGTTGCAAGCACATTGCTATTTACAGCTGTCAAGTGCTAGCCAAGCACACAAACTTGTCAGCGTGCTGCTTTAAGAACCTTGGCTACTGCAGGTAGCTCAAAGGGACTCGCAAAATGCATCAAGCCTACACCATCGTCGACACTGCTGTTGAATGAGTGCGCCGAGGTGCTGTTTGTACGGACCGAGGGCGGCCTTGTACTTTTCTGACCAGCCAGGCGGCACGAAAGGTGCCCCTGCTTTTTGCACACCGCTCTTCGTGACACCTTGCCTCACTCAGGGCCACAAATGCGCAAAATGCCCATGAATCTTAATTCAGCGAAACTGCCTAATTTCGATGACAGCTTCATCTTCTAACTTCCTTTTCTGCTCCGGAGATACAGCTTCCTGCCAACACAAAACCATGTCCAGGATGCTGCACTTTCTTGTGGCAACTGAGAGTGTCCTGCGGTTCTGTGTCTGGCTTTTTGCTCTCTTTCCTCAAGTCAGCACACACACACACACACAAGCGTGTTTGCAGTTCGGGGGAAGGAGAATGCACAACAAGTGCTTGCAGCTTAAGTGGCGACTTAGGTTTTTCTTTCTCTTTCTTCCCGCGTACCTGCCACGAAGATGTTGATGAGAAACGTTTACGCTGCTCTTGTGTCATTACTCAATGCCACAAAGCCAGTACCCACCCACGCTGCCATTTGAATCGGGTGTTGCGTCGGTTGGCACAGTTTGGATGCCCACTCAGGTGCCTTTCTGAACCGCAAGGCTTAAAAGGGGATAGAACCATGAAAGCACTGCAAGCGCCCCAGGCTGCCTTCATAGCGGCCTCATCTCAACGTGTTTGAGCCACAAAGCTCTCAAAGGCGCTGCGGGTGAACAATGAGGCCAGGGCGCTATGGTATGCAAATTGAGGACTGGGGCTGCTGCGCACTTGGAATCCGGTTCAGGGCTTGGACCGCCTCCACTCTTGACCACCTCAGCGTGAAAGCGAGCAGAAGGCTCCACTCCCGGATGTCCGGGACTAAAATTAGGGTTTGCATTGGAATGCGTTGGGATGCATTGAAATATATTGGGATGCAGCGGGCATGAACCCTCAACTGGCCTCGTATTGTAATCCTGATGCCGTTTCGGTCACGTCGTCTCGCCTCACATCTCACAGTGAACCCACGCATACCTACCTCCAGTTCCACGGCACGTCCAACGCTGAGGGTTTGGCAAGCGATTCTCCTGCCAATGCAACTCTGGAAACAAGGCTGGCTGACGGGCGTCCCGAGATCCTCAAGAAACTTCTCATCCTCCGGCTCTCCTCGGCACAGCACCTTGAACAAGTGTCGGTTGCTCAGCCGCTTGAGCAAGAATGAATATCACCACCTGGGCTCCTAGCAACCAAAATCGCAGCAAGGCGAAGCGCCTCGAGCCAGTCTCTACATTAAGCCTGGGCTTGGGCTGTCCCTGGGGCCACGGCCACGGCCATTCTGAAAACAAAACTTGCTTTGGCTTCAATTGGCTTTCCCGAGGGTGTCTGGGAATTTCGGGAACTCTTTCCAAAAGCTAGATTGTTTGTTAAGCTTGGTCTGCAAGGACTGAGGTCTCAGCGAGCCAATAAGACTGCGTTTTAGTGAGAACGGCATACAGTGCATTGGTTCAGCCAAGGTCGGGCGCTTTGGACAAGCAATGAGATGATGAAGACTAAAATGGCAACTGTTCGGTGCTATGAAAACACTAGCCTGTCAGAAAGAAAGTGACTGCTTCGTTCACGTGGTCATGCTAGAAGGGAAATCTATCGGTGTGCATGCCTGTAAGTCGTAACTGGCTTGTGGGTCCCAATTTGAATCAGCAGTGCTTCCGACAAACAGATTGACGCCTAACCACTTGCCCCCTTGTTCTTGCCAGAGTCTGTTAGAGTCGAGTAGCGTCGAAAACAATCCAGGAAGCTCTCAACTTTGACGTCAAAAACTCGACCCGTCTTGAACTAGCTTAAGAAATGATAATTCGAACTTAACTTTGTGTGGGAGGGAGGCTATGCACCATGTTATGCAAAGTTAGGGCCTCCCAGCTCATTAAACAAACACAGTGCTTGTTTACGCTTATCGGGGGCTCGAATTAGCTCCCCCTTCGGCCTGGGCACCATTGTTTACCCAGCCGACGCAGCGTCGCGTGATCCAAAAGCCGCTTGTCTTTTTTTTTGCACAGGCGCATGGCACCGCTTTTGCGGCCGGGATGCACAAGCAAGAAAGCGCATGCTGTTCACGCGCATGATTCTCTCATGGACGGGCGTGCATTGTCTTTCCACGTCTGGATGACCAATTAATTGATTTGTCCAATCTGATGTTGTGGGAAGTGGCCATGCAAATCTTAAAAGGTGTGAATTGTGAGATTGCTAGTGGCCACTCAGCACGTCAAGGACCTGGTGCAACAGCTTCAGCATTGTTCGCCCCTATTTGGACAGCCAGCGCTGAAACATGCCAGCTGGAACAGGGACCATAAATACCAAAACCTTCCAAGTCCCAACCTGACTGCCTCAATCAACTTCCAATGCAGGTCGCCTCAGGTGTCAAGTCGCCGCACTGCTGCTGAAGTACACGGATCAGAGCTGGTATGTTCAGGCCATTGATTCCACGGATCCTTGAGGTGACAGGCCAAAGCGCTTGGAATCCATACTGCAATCTGTCAACTGAGGAGAACGCATCGAGACAAGCAGCGCAGCCAAGGCGGGAGTCATGTCATCCACTTCAAGCTCATGAACGCATGCCCAAAAGTCGTCCGAGGTAAACCTCATGGGCAAATCAAGTGACACGTTTTGGCGGCTTGAAAGTCTGAGCGGTTCACTCGCAGCCCTGCTCCAACACTGCCTGGACCTGCCCAGGCGACTTGCTCCTCATGCAAACGAAGCCATAAGTACCACGCTGAGTCGAGCAAGTAGTGTGCAGCCTGCATGGCTCGGCAGTCGAAAAGGCGTACACGCCAATTGCAAGGCCTTCGACACGTTGGAGGCCTCCTGTGCGCGAACCTGTTCCAGCAGTGAACGATACCTGCACGCACGCTGCTTGCAGCGCATGACTCAATTTGTTCCCTGGCTGAGGTCACCAATGGAACTGCCGGTTGCCCAGGTTGCCCAGAGTCTCAGCATCCTGACCCCAACGCAAAGAGCTAGTGACAGCTAGATCGACAAGGAGACAATTCAGCCCGCCACCGTGTCGCTTTGAAAATCGCACCTGGCTAGAGGCATGTAAAGTGCCAACGTGCCAGCACAGTCTGGCCCGTCTGGCCTCAGGGGAGCCAACTCCATGGAGGCAACGCGCGATTTCTCCTGTTCTTCCAGCTTCTCCTCACCGTAAAGCTTGGCCGCCATGCCAGGAAATGGCAAGGTGCCCTGCGCCTGAAGCTTCTTTCTTGCAAGGTCTCGCATTGCCTTGGCACCCAGCTGCAACATGCAACTTCAAACAATCCATACAGGTGCGAGTCAGAAGTGACGTGTTTGCGCTACTTGCCTGGCCTGGTAGTCATACACTGCAGCACGAAGAACGGCCAGCGATGACCTTGACAACCATCCCAGGCAAAATGGAAGCTTGGGAACCAGCCTTGAAAAAATGCTATTGTGCCCAGCGTTGATGGATCTTCAGGTTCACGAAGTTGAGCCATGGCCTGGTTTGACGCAGGTCAACTGTAGCATGAAGCCAAGAAACGCATGAACCCCGTTGGCCGACGCCGCGCCTTCTGGCGAATGGCTCGGAAACGTGCTCGCGCCTGGCCGACAACATCTTCTTTAGCCCTCAATTGACTATGACCTAATTGCTTTCCATAAGCACCGCCCAGGCAACCGCAACGAGCTTGACAGGTTCTGCTTGCCGCGGTTCGTTGAGGCGTTGAACGCCCTCCATGCATCAAACAGACTATCCGCGGCATGTTTTCTTGGTGGGTGCAGCGAGCGAAAGTCTTGGGCCTTGAGCACCGCATCATCTAGATCCACTCCTCGTCGTTTGTCCTGTACCTGGGGGTCAGATTCTACACGGGCGTTCATGCTGCCGTCGCACCCGGCCGCACCCTTTTCCATTGGAATCATTGCAAATCCAAGAGCATCAGCCCAGCTAGCGCAGCTGACTGACCAGCGATCGATACCCACCAGGTAGCCATACACAAGTGGTGGCTGACTGCCTACCACTATCCATGGAGCAAGGCGGACCAAAGCCGCATCAGAAAACGGCGCCATCAAGGCCTCACCGGCCTCAGGCCTGCGTCGGCAGGTGTAGGATCATGCCTCAGGCCTGCTCTTGGCAACGCCTTCTTCTTCTTTTTCACCTCAAAGCCACCATAGATTTCCTGCTGGACAGAGCAGTCGAGAATTTGCTGAAGTGGGAGTGGCTGCACGCTAGTCCTTGATGCCCTCGGGTGGGATTCCTTAGCCGGCTGGATCCCTCCGATCTTTCAATCAAATGGGTAGCATCTAGGATTGTAGGCAGCCAAGGTTCGAATGATCTCCGTCCCGTGCTGTTCACTTCTATATAAATCGAACGCAACCACCTTAGCTCACGGAAATCTCGCGCGCAGCAACATAACCGAGCAGCCCCCGAGTCGCCAACACCGCAGTTGACCATCTTCGTTGTCTTGGCGACATGGGTGGAAGATTTGGGCATGAAGCCTCGGCCGCCGACAGGAGCATGTGAGTATGACGCCAACGCAAGCTTCCGGTGCAGGTCGCGCAAGAATAGAAATATGTTGCGACCGGGAGACTTTTGAAGAACTCCCTGAACCAAAGCGAATGCCCAGCCACCTTTGCAAGCATGCAGTTGTGTAACGAAAGGCCGTAGCAGAAAGAAAGATAAAGAAAGCAAAGGCAGGCCGCCAGGCCCAAGCAAATTCAAGCAAATTCTTGGCCATGTGCTTGGCCATGTGGGTTCGTGGTGGCCACGGCCACTTTGGCAACCAGCGCCGCAAGCTTGCAAGCTGCACAAAAACTGCTCCGACCGATTTTAGGGAGGCAAAGGGAAAAACATGTATCTAGTTTCAATTTCCGACCATACCCTGATGAATCCAAATGCCGCTAAGCAGGAAAACAAGACACCAGGTTTCACAGGATCAACTCGAGCAAGAAGAGTGGGATGTCAGCAATCCAGGTTGCGCCTGGTGAAGATGAACCAACCATCAATTGAACCGTCTCTTTCATGAGCCCTTAACCACAGCCGCAAAACAGCAAACAACCCTAAGCCGAACTGGACAAACAAGGCGCAAGCAACTCATGGACATTCGTGTAGGAAGGAGACAGAAGCGGCAACGATGACAAAGAAGAGGGGATGTGCTGGAGCGGAGTGGCGCAAGCAAGTCACACGACATTGCCGGCGCGAGTCAACTCGAAAGTCCAGCAGCCTAAGTAAGGCAAAGCACCGCATATCCAAATCGCAAGCAAAACCCCATATGTGCATGGCAAAACCCGCGCAAGAAATGCTTATTAAATCGCGTTGCCCGCTGACCCGCTTCAACCTAAGACGCCATTGTTTCGGGCTGCTGGTCTCCGACAACGGGATGGCCTATCTAGATGTTCATCCGTCCCTGATGCCTTTCCGTGGGCAAGTCCGCGAGTCAAAGTGAACGATCAAGCGCCAATCTCCGCGTGTCTCGCGGCGATAGTTCTCAGGTTTCGTTGTGAAATCCAAGGCCGCTTAGTTTGTAGCTTCACTTCCGGTGGGCAAAAGGCAGCTGCAGAATGACAGGGCAGCTCCATGTTGAGCCACATGGCAATCAAAGAATTCATACTTGTTTTACCCGGATAAATGGTAACCTGTTTGCCGGCTGAGCCGCCTCATCTTCGGCACGCTTACACGCGTGTCGCTGAACCTGGACAAATGGTACGCAAGCACCAAGAGCTTGTCGGAGCGCGCACAACTAAGTCCGCTTGCCAATCAGCAGAAAGTCAACTTGACCCAAGTTGATAGGAATCAGATGGAATCGGGGAGGGTGAAAGATTTGCTCCAACAGCGTAAACTGTCACTTGGCGTTCCGGCGGCTCGCAGTGACAAGGAAGCCAAGCGCCTCGGACTCCTCCAGCAATGAAGAACGCTTGGACTCCACAGTTGGTTGCGCGGCATCTGCCCAACAGGCCACAATGGCTCCCGTTCATTTGCATATCCTTTGCCCAACGCAAGCTTCAAAATCAACGGCGGTCAGCAAAGGCCAGCACCTCGACGGCGCATCAAGCCACACAGCTGCGGTTTGGCCTTATCCGTGTCTCTTGCAAATAAGCATCTTCCCTCCGAGATCCGCAGCTTTAGTGAAGCGCGTCTGCTTCTAGCCTGCTTGAGCCGGTCGTTGGTCTCTTTCAATCCTGCGCTTTCTTAGCACTGCATCCGTTGAGCCCACTCGTCAGACCACCTGGACGCACAAGGAATTGCACGCTGGCCAAGCTGCCCGAGCACGAACATTGACTGGCAAAGCTCGGGTTGCCCACACATGTTGATTGCCGCCAACTTGGAGCTGCGCTGCGCAGCGACGCCACAGTCATAAGCTGGACTGAATTGACAAACGCGAGGGGCTGAAACGCACTGGACTCCACGCGCGCACTCATGCCCGGCAAGTTCACGCAGCTCATGCCCGCGAGGCCTCCAACAACCACGGCCGTTTGAGCATCCAGGCGTGAGTGAAGGATCAAGTTTCAAGGCATTGATCTAGGCCCGCGCATGGGCAAACTGTCAAAATCGGTTTGCAGAGGGCCTCCTGTTTTCTCAACTCTCACCACGTTGGACGTGGCATCCCAGACACCGGAGTCTCCATCCACTCCGGACGGCAAATGTCGCGCCATCACCTCAGGATCATCGTCCATCCGGAGAGCGGGGATTGCAGTCTGTGCCACTGGGTTGGTCGCAGGGACGATATGCTAAGACACCGTCGGCGGAAAAAGACTTGAGACCTGACTTGTGGGTAACAATTGAGCCAACATCGAATTGGGCATCATTGTAATGATGCGGCATGATGAAGGGACAAGATTATGATGATGCCCTCGGAAGCAGCATCATGACGACGAGTCATGACTACGGGCGCCGCATTATGATTCTGATTACCTTGGCCGCGTCACGCCGGGCAGCGAGTGATGCCACGACCATCATGACCACAGCGCGCAAAGATATCAGGAGCATGCAGCGAGCGTTTGCGCCGCACTACGCTAGCAAGCAACGCAGGTGGCAGCCAGAGCAGTGAACTCGCTGCTCTGCCTGCGTTAGGCCCCGAACTATTGCAGTTTCCTCACATCAGCAGCACTGGCCATGTTACTACAAAGGCAAACGTTGAAGCATGACCACCTGGCAGCACCATGGCAACAGTGTGCAAGAGAGGGGCGCATCGTTGGAGTCACCAGGAGACAAATGAATTGCCAGGTCTCATCTGGCAACAGGGCGAGGAGACACTGGAGACACCAGAGACACCGGAGACACTGGAGACAAGTGAGATAGCTCAGACACCTGAGACACCTGAGACACCCGAGACCTACTTTAAATGAATTTACAACCAACGCTAAACTGCTTGGCAAGAATTCGCCTCGGCCCCAAAGGGGCCACGGGCGCTCAGATCTCTTCTCCAAAGAGAATCTTCGCTTTTCCCCTCCCCCGACCAAAATTTGCCCGCCCGCCCCCCCCCCCCCCACCCATGTCGGCTGGCCCAAAATCCTGTCCGGCGGGCCTTGAAATTTGCGGGGTTCGTCGCCATAAAACCATTTTTGTCGAAAATGTGCTGACAATTGCTCAAAAGCATGACCTCCTGCTGGCCAGGCCTGTCTGACGTGTCTGAGACTAGGCTCAGGCCCAGCTGCTGGCCAGGCCTGTCAGCCCAGCCCACCCAGCCTCACACCCAAGCTTCAACCAGCTGCCCAAGCACGGCCCCAAGCCATCCAGCAAGCCCAGCCCAGCCTGCCCAGCCCAGGCCCCGGCGCATCTCAGAGCATGCCAACCACTAGGTCGGCCCCCAGCTCCCAGCCCGCCAGCAGGCTCAGCCCAGCGTGCCAAGGTCAGGTTTGTCTAACGTGTCTGATGAGACTGGCCTCAGGCCAACGACCAGTCTCACGTGTCTGAGACCAGTAAGCTACGCCAGCTACTAAGCCTGTCTGACGTGCCCCCCTCAGTCCGGCTCCCAAGCAGCTCAGCCCAGGCCCCAAGTCATCCAGGCCCAGTCTGAGACTGGTCTCAAAGTGTGCCAGTCTGAGACCCAATGCCTTAGCCCGCCTGCTGGCGTGTCTTACGTGTCTGCGACTGGCCTCAGGCCCAGCTCGCCACCCAGTTTCAGGCCCAAGTGTGTATGAAACAGGCCTTGCCCATCCAGCAACCCGCCCAAGCACAGCTCAGCCCCGCCCAGCCCAAGTTCCAGCCTTCATGTCTGCCAGCCCACCTGCGCAGCCAGCAACCCACCCATGGCTTCGCAGCCTTGTGGAGACTAGCTTCAGGCCCAGCCCAACCAGCAACCCACCTCAGCCCAGCCTGCCCAGCCCACGGCATGCCAGCCACTGGGCCGGCTCAGCCCAGCGTGCCAAGGTCAGACTAATCTCAAGCTATACCAGCTACTAAGCCTGTCTGACGTGGTTGAGCCCCTCAGTCCGGCTCAGCCCAGGCTGGTCAGGCCTTGACCTCCGGCTCGCGTCTGGCCCAAGTCATCCAGCAGGCCCAGCCCCTTCGGCGCTGTCTAAGACCAGTCTCAAAGTATACCAGACTGAGACAAGCCTCAGGCCCCTCAGCCCGCCTGCTGGCGTGTCTTACGTGTCTGCGACTGGCCTCAGGCCCAGCCTCAGGCCCAAGTGTGTATGAAGCAGGCCTTGCCCATCCAGCAACCCGCCCCAAGCACAGCTCAGCCCAGCCCGCCCAGCCCAAGTTCCAGGCGCAACCAGCAGCGTAGTCCGGCTGCCCGGCAGCCAGCAACCCACCCATGGCTTCGCAGCCTCGTGGCTGAGACTAGCTTCAGGCCCAGCCCAACCAGCAACCCACCTCAGCCCAGCCTGCCCAGCCCAGGCCCTCGGGCATGCCAGCCACTAGGCCGGCATCAGCAGGCTCAGCCCAACCAGGCGAGGCCGGCTTGTCTGACTTGTCTGGAGCCAGCTTCAGGCCCAGCCCAACCAGCAACCCGCGCGAGCAAGCCACAGCCCAGCCCACCCAACCCACCCGCGCTAGCAAGGCCCAGCCCAGCCCGCCCTGCCCAGGCCCCAGGCGCAGGCCTTCCCCAACCAGCAGCCTGGACCGGCGCATGGCATCAATTAACCCAACGTGCCCCAGCCCTTCACTCCGGCTGCCCAAGCAGCGCAACTGGCCAGCCCTAGTCTGAGCAAGCAACCCACTCAAGCACGGCCTACCCCAGCTCCCCTTCGCTTCGGCCCCCAGCCCACAGCTGTTTGAAGGAACATGTAAGTAGAAGCCAAATGACCACCAGCTACCAACTGCAAAGCTGCTAGGTGAATTCACACGGTAGGTTTTTTGTTGCGGTTCTCATCCTGAAGGACCGAAGGATGTGTGTTTAGATGAATCCTTGCTGAAATGAATATTCTTTATGTCCCCCTGTTGGTTTTACAGGGAAACTATCACTATTGAGGATATTTTCCGGGGTACTTAAGCAAATGGAGGTTTGTATTCCCACCATGTACCTGTCTTGGGCTGAGCAACCGAGCAAGAAATGTATGTCATGGCAAGCCGCCAGCCACGTGAAATGGAGGTGCCCAAACACCCAAAGTTGGTCTTGGTTGTTCAGAGACACTAATTATTGTTCCCCTTTTTATGGAGGCCAAGCCCCACTAAAAATGCTCATTTACAGAAAGAGGTCCTTTTTTTCCAAGGGCACTGAGCAGCTGAGATAGTCTTGGTTTTGGATTTCAAACCTTCCGAGCAGGACGGCTTCCGAACATCGAACTAGCACGGGCGAACTGGTGCGGTCACAAGCTTTCAGTAGGATTCGGACCTTCCCAACACTGGATTTCGGTGTTCCTGACCCTTCCCTCAAACTAGGCTGGGCCGAGGCGGGCAACGCGAAGCGTTTACAATTACAAACAAACTTCGTGTTAAGAACACCACAGCAAAACGTGCCAAATGCAAACCGACTGCTACGATGCAATCGATGTCCTTCTGGTCAAAGACCCACTTCACGAATTGTTTTTGACGCTTGTCTGCCTCACGACTAAGCTGAACGTGCACGCTGGCAGACGAGACGAATCAATGTATCACCGGTTTAGTACGTGGAGCATTCAGGCTACCCAGAAAATCCCCAAGAGACTGCAAGCTGAATGAAGAGCTGCAGGGCCCAAATCCTGCCTTCATGCCTAGCGTCTTGTTACCGAGGTGTTGTCGGTGGTCCAGCCGGGTTTTATACCAATGCGACCTGGCAATACAAGCCCGCGGCGACATTCTTAGATACATCGCCTGCCATCCGAGTTGCATCAAGTCACCCATATTTTTCATCTTCGCCTTCATCCGAAATGGAGCAAAGAGTGGGCTGGTGAAACCGACCCAGCACTTGCCTCGTCCGGGGGGCATTTCGGCAGCGACCGTGCCCGCGAAATGGCCAGGGTGTCAACGTTCCGACCTAAGTTGGATGCCCCGAACTTCTGAAAGCGGAAAGGCATTTGGAAGCTTCTGCCGACTTGCGCCGGATGCTCTCCCAGAATAAGCCCAAGGCTGATTTCCTGCATTTCTCAAGCACGGTCATGTATAGGACCCGATGCATTTTTACTCTCTACTGGCATGCGGTCCTGAAGAGATGTCATCAAATGCACGCGATCTTTAGCAAACGTCCTGAAACAATATGCATGGCCAGACACCACAAATGAGACATGATGCATGATCTTCCCTTCAAGCAAACACCAAAAATACGTGTGTTGTTCTTCCTTTTTTGAAGGCAAGACGCGACTTCAGCAAGCGCGGGCTAAGCGCAATCAGCGCCGTGGACACTGCGCGTCGAAGGATGGAAGATGCCTGGGGGAAGCGCTTGGGGCCTTACAAGCGATTGTTGTCACGTTGCGTGTTTTTGCTTTCTGGGTTGAAAAACAACACTTAACATCCGAATCAATCATTCAAAAACGCTCTCATCTGATTGGCGGGCACGGGATTGGGCGCCCCCTCTTTTCTCAACATGCTGCGACTAGGCTTTCCCCGGCATCGCCCAAGATGATGGACACCTCATGCAACGGAACACCAGCTGCACCTATCAAGCAAATGGGCCCGTGCAATGTCTTCTGGCTGGAGCTGCTCTACCGCTTTGTGGCAAGTGCCAGGCTCCCTGCAACCTGGGAAACCATGGGAACACTGAGACCCTGAAGATCGGTTTCCTCAGCGAACTCTTGAGGATTCTCTCCGTTCTCCGACCCGCCTGCGGGCTGCGAAGCTAGGAAGGCAAGCAGGTCCCAACCTTGGTCGTGGGCCATCCGTTGGAGCCACTGTGCGAAACGTCTGCTCTGAGCCAAGCCTTGCTTCATGCCCACGTCGTTGAGTGGCGAGTCATAGAAAATGGAGTCACGCTGAAAAGTCATCAACGCCTTCCGTCTACTCAGCTGCGGCAAGCTGTCAACATGCATTGCTTTGTCACAACAAAACAGGCCTCCTTTATCAATGCCCGCACTAGGCGGAATGGCAAGAAAATCTTCCATCCCTGCATTTGGCATCGCTTTGCTCCATGGTTTATCTGGTGGTGGCATGCATACAATCAAGAATCGCCGATCTGGTCACTCGCGTCTGCGCAGCCTTACCAATCCCAGCCTTGTTGAAGACTGAGTTCCACTGAGATTCACCATGACGAATAAATACAATCCTTAGACTTGGAATGGGAGGCCTTGCAAACATCACATTGGCCTTTACAATAGATTATCCGCAATGTAGGCCAGGAGTCTTCATTCGCTTGCACTTCGGCGAGTTCTTGTCTAGCTTCATGTCAGTTGGCTTGCATGGCCTTATCACACAAGCAAAACCACCCTGTTTCTGCTTGCGCGCTCGGAAAGCTAGTCCAAGCACTTGGCTTTTTATCACCTTGGCTGAGGACTACATCGCAATTCGCACGACAGCATTGTCAACATCGAGACGTGTCCCATGCAGCGCTCACTCAGAGAACCGAGGCTCGATAAGCACTCGCTCAATTGCACCCGATCAGCACTGCGCACACCCCTGCAGGATTGTAAGCGCACCCGCTCAAGCGCGCCTGCTCGGCACTGCGCGCACGCATGCCAAATATTAAGCTCACCTGCTTAAGCGCACCCGCTCAGTACTGCACGTTCGCCTGTTTGATGGTAAGCACAACAGCAAGAGCGCGCCAGCTCGGCGCTGCACACACGCCTGCCACATGAATGGCAAGCGCACCCGCTGAACACACACGCACACACCTGCCAAATGGTAAGCACGCCCGCTCAAGCACACGTGCTCACTCAGGAAGACCCGCTCAGCCAAATGGGGAGCGACCCGTAAGCTGTTCCTTTCTTGGCACACAGCCAGATCCTTGAGTGGCAGTAGTTTCGACCCTGGCCGGTGAATCTGACTTGTTCAGCTATGAGCGCATGCTGCAAGATGGATGATCTTCTTCGGCCATGGTCGGACTCCTGCAAATCGTCTCTCGCCAGAAATTTGAGGGCGACAATCTCTGGTCTTCGTCCGTGGCGCCCATGAAACCCCAGCGGAAGCCAAAATATCACGTCTGCAGTTCTCCAGATGCATTAGGATCTTGCGCCTCCTCTGTGAGTCTGGGAGAACCATGAGGTGAATCCGCTCTTCTTGTTCTTCTTCTTCAAGTCATTCATTATTTGCTTCAGGTTCAGGTCGAGATGAATAGCTGGCGGAGAGGACACAACAAGTCGGCAAAGAAACACAACCCAGTCGGCTGAGCCACGTGACAAAAGCCGGCCACACGCGACAGAGTAAACCCAGTGAAACCCCACCGGGTTGCCACAGCCGCCTGGTCCGAGGGACTTGCCCAGGTCGTGGCGCAGCTGGCTCGGGCTGCGGTTCCTCTGGCAGATTGGCCAGCCGCGCTTCAGAGAACAAGTTCGGGCTGTCTAAAAACATCATGGACGCGCCAGTGTCGTGGATCGAACTGATTCAATTTCATTTGGGCTCTGGCATGGGACGTCATTCCGGTTTTGCGTGAATAAGTCGATCAGTCAATCTCTGTACCCGGCGGATATTGCGGATATTGTTTCATTGTCGTCTGTAGCCTGTAAACATATCCATTCTCTTGCATCTTGACCACATGCTGGTCTGCTGTCTTCCGCAATGGTTTCCATCTCCTATCCTGAGTGCTGCACACTGCTTGCGAGCGAAGCTTGCGAGCATTTCCTCAAGAAGGGACACCTACTGTAAGGGCCAATAATAGCACCGGCAAGGATACAGCTCTGCCTTCGAAACTTCGTGCATCGCCTTCGGGTTGTTGGTGAAAGTGCTTCGCAGAACTGGTGTAGTTCCTGCATCTGCTGAAACTTCTTCGCATCACTTCCGTTGGCATTGTGTAGCAGGCTACAGGCAACGCTTTCCCTTTTCGTACACCTTTTGCGGATTGAGTGGGTCCTTCAAACACACTCCTTCAATGGGATCTCGGAGGCTCACTGTCTAGCAGCGCTCCCGCTCAACTGATGTGAGTGCGGTCCAATCGTCTATGAGCTCCTCACATCTGAACCAGCTGACACGTCCGTCCATCCGTCGCACAACGCCAGCAACTTGGCGGTCATTGGCAGGTTGATTGTTTCCTCAGCGCTTCCCATCTGAGTGCCGGTGGCGGCATAAACCTCCATGAATGCCTCTCCATTTGACAACCTTTTCCATTGTCAGAAGGCCTGCTCCGCTGCCACAATGGTGGACCGATATTGGGGGGCTAGAGTCTATGCTGCGCGTACATCCTAGATCTATTTCTGAGCAAGCAAGGAAATGTCTAGGAACCTAGGACGTGTCCCGGATTTGTTTCCTTTCTGAAGTGATTCCATGTAGAGCCCTGGCAGTCAGCGCATTTTCTATCTCTATAGCTACACGGCTGTAACATCTAAAACGAAGGGCCTTAAGCCAAAATTGGCTGTGTGGAGATCAATGTGCATGAACAAAGCCGCCTTCCCGAACAACAACCCTCCCCCCCAAACCCTCATCGAAGGGGTATGCCTGCCACCTCTCAAAACCAAGCGGCTCGCCAGAAAGAAGTAGAAGAACGAATACACACCCAGTTTTGCCTGCAAGGCGTGCCCCAGATCCACTCCTAAGATTGAACTTAAACCAAGGCGAGCCATGCCTTCGGCACAACCAACAGTGTGAGGAGGACCTCTGCCGGGGCAAACAACAAGCAATGTCACTTCTGGTCAGTCTGCAAAGCGCCGCCATCAATCCCGAGACTCCAACAAAGCCCATCACCATAAGCAAAACCCACAGCAAAGACTCCTGGGTCTGTCAGCCCCACGTGCTGGCCACCAAAACAGACAAGCAAATCCTGCACTTCTTGATGCAACAAACTGCACGGTGAGTTTCTGGTGGCAGCTTCCGTTGCCCCAATGCTGCATGCGCAACATCCTGAACCAATCCCACCTGCACAATGTCAAAACAGCAACTTCCAACACACAAAGCAGAAATTCCGACCTCAGAGATGTATTCCAATGCTCCCTGCACTTGTGGTACAGAGGACAGTCTCACCACATAATCATGAAGTTGCACCTGCAAATGTCATGACTCAAACACTTGCGGGAGAGCGTGCAAGGAACGCACAGCCAATAAACCCGGTTGGAACCTGCACAACTCTGCTCAAGAAGCATGCCTGAGCAGCTGCAACCTTTGCTCCAACTGGTTCTAGTCGGTCGTGATAGGCTGCAGCTGCATTCCAAGCTGTCTGCAGGTAGCCTTTGGCCACATCAGCCACTTGCAGCGCTGCATCCATGCCTGACAGCCCCTCACTCTCGTGCACAAAGCTCGCCTTGAAGGTCACATTATGTCACACTGAAATTCGATGGCAAAACTGGACTGAGCAAGCATGCTGCAAGGCGGCGTGACCCGAAGCGAGCATGCGAGCACGAAGACGCAGAGACCGCAGAGACCGCAGAGACCGCAGAGAATTAGAGCAAGGCCACTTGCCAATCTAAGTTATGGAACCGCCAGCCTCACCGCCAAGGCGCAAAGCCCGGGCACTACGCTAAGCCCAAAGATGGCCGGCGAGTCACGTCTTTCTGCTCCGCGTTTGCGGCACATCAGAATCTGAGAATCTACATACTGCTCTGCGCAATCCATGTCAACTTCAGTGATATGCAGTGTCAAGGAGCAGGCCACGTCAGGAACAATAGCGCCTGTCAGCTGCAGAACTCTTTCCCACAAATTCACGGGAAGGATATAAAAAAAACTTTTTTAACCATCAAAAAAATAAGCAATCAAAAAAATGCTTTTAGCCATCAAGAAAAAACTTAATGCACTCAGGGCTGCATTTACTGAGAAACGTGTGTATCAAAAGGAACACGCAGTGCACGCGCACGGACACGGTCTCATCACACGTGCTGTAGCTGCGGGGTTACTCTTTTGCGATGGTCTGGGCGTTTACACGACAAAGACGTATAGGCCGGGGTTTCCTCATGTTCTTGGAAGTAGAAAAACAGAGTAGGAGAGATAGAGCAGGAGAGACGAAGAAGAACAGACAAACAAAAAGGGTCGAGATTTAATTTGTTTTTGTGCTTTATTTTGGGACTTGTTTTTGTTTTCCGGCCTGGCTAGCAAATACTGTTTTTAAAGCATTTTCTCACGAAGTGACACTAGCCCGTCAACATCATCAGCATCGTTTCAACATCCCCCGCATGTCCAGCCAACATCCCCAGCATCACCAGCAAATCGAATTCCTACATCCTCAGCATCACCAGTTCCTCTCTGGGAAGGTAGGTAGGTATTTATGTATGTATGTATGTATGTTTAAAAAGCAGCGAGGGGGTCCATGATGGTAAAAACAGCCCCCCCTGATGTGCGAAAACGTGGTGATTCAACTAGGGTTGCATTTTAATCTCTGCCAAAAGTCCAACAAGTAGCGGAGGGCTTGGGGGGGGGCGGCAGCCCGCCCAGTGGTGGTCGGGGGAGTGATGATTCGACTAGAGGCAAACAAATTAACAACGTAGGTTAGGGGGGGCGGAGCTCCCCCCCCATGATGATCGAACAAGTGATGATTCAATTGGGGGCCACAGATCTTAAAAGTAGCGGGGGGGTTGGGGGGGAGGGGTGGCAGCCCCCCACCATGATGCTCAAGAAAATAATGTTTCAACTGGGGCAAAAAATCCGAGAAGTAGCGGGGGGGTTGGGGGGCCCCGTGGTGATCGAACAAGTGATGATGCAATTAGGGGTAAACAATTTAAAAAGTAGCCGGGATGATTCAACTAGGGGCAAGAAGTCTAAATAACCAGCGAGGATGCAAAAAATCTAAAACTTCCCCTTAGATTTTTGCCCCTAATTGAATCATTCGATCGTCATGCGGCAGCCCCCCGCCCAACTTCCCCCCGCACTTTTCGATTTTTTGCCCCTAATTGAATCATCACATTCTGGATCAGTAGCGGGGGGGTTGGGGGGGCGGCAGCCCCCCCCCCATGATGATCGAAAAACTGATGATTCAATTAGGGGCAAGAAATCTAAAAACCAGCGAGGGGGCAAAAAATCTAAAAAGTAGCGGGGGAGTTTGGGGGGCGGCAGCCCCCCCGCGATGATCGAACAAGTGAGCATTGCCCCCCCCATGATGATCCAGAAAGTGATGATTCAATTAGGGGCAAAACATCTTGAAGTGGCGGGGAAGTTGGGGGGGGGGGGGCTGCCGCATGACGATCGAAAAAGTGATGATCCAAATGGGGGCCACAAATCTAAAAAAGTAGCGGGGGGGTTTGGGGGGGGGGGCCCACCCATGATGATCAAGAAAATAATGATTCAACTGGTGCAAAAATCCGAGAAGTAGCGGGGGGGTTGGGGGGGGGGGGCAGCCCCCCATGGTGATCGAACAAGTCATGATTCAATTAGGGGTAAACAATTTAAAAAGTAGCGGGGGGGTTGGGGGGGGCGGCAGCCCCCCCCATGATGATCGAAAAACTGATGATTCAACTAGGGGCAAGAAATCTAAAGAACCAGCGAGGAGGCAAAAAATCTAAAACTTCCCCTCACATTTTTTGCCCCTAATTGAATCATTCGATCGTCATGCGGCAGCCCCCCGCCCAACTTCCCCCGCTCGTTTCGATTTTTTGCCCCTAATTGAATCATCACTTTCTGGATCAGTAGCGGGGGGGTTGGGGGGGCGGCAGCCCCCCCCCCATGATGATCGAAAAACTGATGATTCAATTAGGGGGCAAGAAATCTAAAAACCAGCGAGGGGGCAAAAAATCTAAAAAGTACCGGGGGGGTTGGGGGGGGCGGCAGCCCCCCGCACGATGATCGAAAAGTGAGCATTCAAATTGTGGCCAAACATCTAAAAATAGCGGGGGGGTTGGGGGGGCAGCAGCCCCCCCCATGATGATCCAGAAAGTGATGATTCAATTAGGGGCAAAACATCTTGAAGTGGCGGGGAAGTTGGGGGGGGGGGGCTACCGCATGACGATCGAAAAAGTGATGATTCAAATTGGGGGCCACAAATCTAAAAGTAGAGGGGGGGTTTGCGGGGGGGGGTGGCAGCTCGATGATCAAGAAAATAATGATTCAACTAGGGCAACAAATCTGAGAAGTAGCGGGGGGGCAGCCCCCCAATGGTGATCGAACAAGTGATTATTCAATTAGGGGCAAAAAATGTAAAAAGTAGCGGGGGGGCGGGGGTTGGGGGGGCGCGGCAGCCCCCGCCCAGATGATCGAAAAACTGATGATTCAATTAGGGGCAAGAAATTTAAAAAACCAGCGAGGGGGCAAACAATCTCAAAAGTAGCGGGGGGGTTGGGGGGGGGGGGGGGCGGCAGCCCCGCCATGATGATCAAAAAAGTGATCATTCAAATTGTGGCCAAACATCTAAATGTAGCGGGGGGGTTTGGGGGGCGGCAGCCCCCCCATGTGATCCAGAAAGTGATGATTAAATTAGGGCGGGGGACGATCGAAAAAGTGATGATTCAATGAGGGGCAAAAAATCTACATAGTAGTGGGGGGTTGGCCCCCCCAGATGATCGAAAAAGTGATGATTCGAATAGGGGCGGCATTTCAATTGAAAGGGGGGCAAGAGGAGGATGCAGGAAGCCACGGCCAAAAACCAACTGGGAAAGCAGAGGATGCGAAAAGCCAAAGCCGCAAAAGCTGCATAAACCCAACAAAAAGCTGCAAAAGCCAAACAGAGAGGAACTCAAAAGACCAAAGGACCAACAAACCAAAGGACCAAGGGACCAAAGGACCACGGGACCAGGGGTGTTCAAGGAACCAGAAAATCAAATGCCAACCAAAAGAACAGAATATACAAGCAGCAGAGTGAGATTGTGGGAAGTTTTGTTTGATTGCTAAAAAAGTTTTTTTTTGATGGCTGAAAGTTTTTTGTTGATTGCCAAACAAGTTTCTTTTGATGGTCATCCCCAAATTCACACGGTATCGCTCCGCGCCTCCTTTCTTCGCTTCCGTATTGGCAGGGCCTCTGTGAGACACTGAAGGCAGTGACTCAGTCGAACGAGCATATGGCACTCTGCAAATTGATTGCATGGCTGCCTACCTCCAACTTGTCCACCCACGTCCGCGGCGTTGTTTACAACCTGCCATGAAACGCAATTCGGCGTGCAAATCTAAAAATCCGAGTGCTGCACGCGCTCGCTTTCACCCTTCGCTTCGTCGTTGATGCCCCTGCAAAGCTTGCGCTAGAGAGTGCCCCCTCCTGGCACCATTTTGAGTCCAAGTGGCAAATCCTTCAGGAAACGCTCAAGGGTGGCCAGCTTGTAGTCGTCGTCATGATCTGAGCGGCACATTGTCGCGCCCACATGGCTGTGGCTGATTGAAAGGCATTGCAAACGTGGCACAAAGCCGGCGATACTCTTCTGCATCCCGTTGGGCTACGAAGGGGTTGCACCTGGCACTGGCTCTGCCTTTGTGGCTGTGCGCCTCACCACTGTGCCTTTTGTAAAATCCTTTGTCCTTCCAGGCTTCATTTAAGTCCTGCCAAATCTCATCTAACACTGCCACTCCTCTTTCGCCCCATGTCCTTTTCCAGCTGCTTGCGCCGTGGTAGGCGTCCTCTTTGTGAGCGGCCACCGGGCAACACAAAAACAAGGATGCCGAGGGTCAGACCTTTTGCAGCTTTGGCCTAGCGAACTGGCGCAACTCACTGCCTCCAAAATCTGGCCAAGCCTCGTCCAGCAGATTTCCATAATTCGGCTTGGAACCTGCTCGCGTTTTAGACTTCTGGTTATGTTGCCAAGAAGCTGGCATGCGACACAAGGCCTTTGGGTAGAGGCAACAACTCAGACACAATCTTGTTGACCAGCTCCTTGTGCCTTGCAGGGGGCAAGCTGATGCAATTCTGATCTCGCACGAGCCCGGCGGTCTCGTGTCGTGTCACACTTCGGTTTGCACGTGCTGGCCTGACTACATCACCGCGTTCGGAACGTTCTGATCCTAATGGGCCACCAACCTCAGCGAGTTGTAAGGCTGAAGCCTGCCAAATCAGTTGGCTTCAAGGCCAACACGCCTGCGGTGTCCAAGGCCTGCACTGTTTCAATGCTTGGCATTGGCCAACCCAAGTGCTTGCCCAGCTTCATTGCTCAGGTGCGGGCCAAGTACTCTTCCAGGGATGGCAACCAGTTTGTGCCACGCTTCTGGCCAGCCTACATTCTACAAATTTGCAAACTCGCAAGAAAAGCAAGTGGAATGCCAACAAATGTGTATTGTATATTATTGTATTGTATTATTCTGCATTGGCCTTGGATGGCGGAAGCCTTGACGGCCGTCTGGTAAACTGAGATTGCCGAGCCTGGGAGGCCAAGTGCGGCACTCGCTTGTCAAACTCTGAGTTCGCTGAGCTGACCGGTCTGTTCTCCCTGGCGCTCTGAGGCAAATCCACCGACCTGGCAAAAACGCGAAAGGACACGCGAAAGGACACGGGAAACTGGGTCCCCTTCTCCAATTTCGGCTTCGAATTTCGTCTTGGCGGGTATATTCAGCTTCGGTTCGTCTTTGCGGCCATTTTTGGCTTCGAGCTTCGTCGTCTTTGCAATCTCGTCTTCGGCCACCCAGCAAGATGGGGACCGTCTCTCCCGGGTCAATGCAAAAACAAAAACAACTGCAAGCCGCTATGATGTTGCTTGAGGCACGCACGTCAAAAAAGCACTGCTGCCATCATCAAAAGCCTTGTCAGGTTTGCAGCTGCTTGCTTGTTCGGACGCTCGAAGGCTAAGAAGCCAGCAGGGCTGACCTGCCTGCAAGAGTCAGCGCATGCAAATGGGTGCCGTGGAACAACGCTGGTGCCGGCACCTTGAGCTTGGCAACGAAAGCTGCATTCCCTCTTTTCGGGCCTTTCAAATTCATGTTCGGACGCTACCACTTTCTTGGAATCCTCCAAAAGTCCCTGCACATGCCTCAAAAGCAGCGTCAGCATCAGACTTTACCTGCACGCACTCGGGATTCTCCCCCACCGAATGTGGCACAAAACCTGCCTGCTCTACGCGACGGAACGAGTCTTTGATGTGCAGCTTCCTTCAAATTGACACATTTTTGGCAGCAGGAAGCAAATCTCGCTAAGTGCAAGGCAACGATTTAAATCCATCTTTCTCCTCCCCGTGCCAAGACGCGCATGACCAAGTGAGGAGGCAAAGCACAACGCTAGCTGGCACACATCCTGTCTTTCCTGCGCTTGACCACACCGAGGGAGGTCCTTCCTGCGAGGAGTCGCACAACAGGATCAAATGAGCTAAAATGAGCTAAAGCACGCAAATGCCAATGCACATCAAGCCAAGGCCCACGCCCGTACAAAGCATGCGGCAACTTTCCCAGGCCCTGCATCTCCTCCCGCTCTGCCTGAGTCACATTCATGCGAAGACAGGGATCAACACAAGCTGAGCAAAGCCTCCAAACTTCCTTCTTCGCCCTGTTCATCCTTTCCATCCTTCCGCGCTGCAATGCGCAAAATATGAGCGGCAACACACAGTAACCAGGGTCCTTCCCGTCAGGAGATGTAGGCCTGTCCATAAGTTCCTTCTGCAATTTGTCAAGCTCCCTCCGCATCTCCGCCTCCTTTCCTCAAACTGCCAACATTGTCTAGTCACTGCTGCCGGGCCGACTGAACAAAGGTCAGGGCGGCGTGATTTCTCCTTGTCCATTTTATCCTGGTGGAAGGTGCTTGCCTGGGAAGTCTCTCACAGTGACAATGCAAAGCAAGAGGGCGTCTATCCAGAACTCAGACACGTACATCACGATCTATTGCAGCTTGCATCTTCGACACCTGCCCCGTGGCATCTGGTGCTTTCAAAACAAAATGCGCCTGCCTTGCCAAGCGTAGAGTTGTTCATCTCTGTCACTCTCTCTGGAGGCACCGGAGCGCCCAAAGGCCTTCGACAAGTATCAAAGGCGGTAAGTTGTGTGGGGTTTCAAACAATGTCTAACGTTGCTCAAGATCAGTCTTAGGCCCCGCGCCTGAAAGCATCACTATGTTTGCACGCAAAGCCTTCAGAACGACCTCGGGCCTGGGGCATCATGCTAGCTAGGCGCAACAGCGGTGAAACAGTCAACTCCTAAGCCAACAACGCGAGTGGACGCGGCCGAGTTTTTCCGATCTAGCCTGACTCAGCAACGCGAAGCACATTGCCCAGCTCAACCGCGTTAACTAAGCCCGAGGCAGTCCTGCCGAATGAGCCTTGCAACTTACATGTTCCAAATTGCGGAGTGAACTGTACGTGTGCAACGATGACTTGGATGCCCACCACTGTCTCCGAACGGTGGAGCCTCACACGCAAGAATGAACTGTTTACGTCACACAGAAAAGCCAAACTCAGATCAGAACGTGAAATTGGCTGCGACACGCTCTTGAGGTAGCATCCCAGTTGTTGCGACAGCCATGCACACCTCGCAACCGGCGCACGTTTCGTTGCACAGCCCCGGGCGTTCAAAAGCCCGCCTTGTTTTGGGCAACATCCTGCCCTGGCCCCTCTACCCCACTTGCAGCGCGCCCCTGCCGCCTTCAAGCATGCAGCCAGAACGCGGAACTTGCAACCATACCCAACAGGACATTACTTCCCACATGCTTTGGCGCCTGCTGGCCTTCTGTGACGGTGCTTGGTTCGGACTTGTGTAAGCGCACTGTTCCGTGAAGTCCTGGTGCCAAGTTGTCTGGATGCTGAAGAAAGAAAATAATAGTTGCTGGTTGCACAGCACAGCCTTGTGCTCGCAGCTCAGCATTGGACAGCTCTGTTTTCTCAGCGAGTACACAGCGATTACCGTCGCAGCTCAGGTACGACCAGACACGCTTTCGGGATAATTGAGGTTTAGTTCCGCGACGCCTTCATTTTTAAGGACTTTGAAACCTTGGCGCATCACATGCTTTTTGGCAACAAAACACGTTCTTTGCGAGCGCACCCTTGTCGGCTGTCATCGATTTATGTACTGCATTTATTTCGCGCGCCTGTTTCCAAGAGCACGAGTCGAGGCCCCGGCACTCGCGCAGTTGTTTTGGAGGCCAGCGTCCTCACCTGCTGAAGTGGCTGAGGGTGGGGCCGCGGCCGCCTCTGTGAAGCTCACTCAGAGGCGGCCTAGTCAGCAAAAAATGCAGAGACTACAGCAAGCCGAAGGAGAGCTGAGCGGAGCGAGCCCGTGCGCGAGCGACGTTGCGGAGGAAGCTGCAGGCTTCGAGTGGCGCATGGCACACGCATCAAACCCCGCAGCATGTCTGAGCGCCTGCCCGCTTGCATACAGCGCGCGCGCGACGCAAGGTCAAGGTCTGAAGCAACGTTTTGCCGCCGTGCACGGCGGCGTGAGATGCGCTGCTCCTCGCCAGCACCCCATGAGCCGGACGATCACTTGGCTGAAGGTAGTGCCCGGCCGCTGCCCCACCTTCCAGGTGGAACGCCTGGCCTCCGACTTGCCCCGAACGCACCTTCCCTTCTGAGCCTTTCCGGTGACAGCGTGCGCTTGGCCCGGCGCCCTCCGGAGCCGAGGCTACGTGCAGCAGCCCACATGCGTCGAGCTGCCGGGGCTCGGGTGACCACCAACACCCTCATGCATGACCTCCACGTAGCGGTCTCTCGCTCTGATGACCGTCGCATCGAGATAAAAGAGGACCGCACCAGGCAAAGCAGCGGAGAGGTGACAAAATCCACAGTTTTCGGGCCGCTAACCTGCAGGGCGAGTCAGGGTAAAGGAGCTCCCATTGAGGTCCGTCACCAGTGTGCATGCCCAACATGCTGGAAAATGTTCCTCCAGAAATGCCGAATTAGTTGTCAACCTGGACCAAAAAAAGACCGAAAGGGCAGACATCGCTGGGCCAGGCAGCGAAAGCTGGACAGGAGCTTGTTTGTACAGGCCACATCCAAAGAGTGTATGCTGCTCACACAGAAGAGGCCACAGCGCGACTGCCCCTCGGCAGTCACGCTCCGCCACAGCACTGCGCGGGCGTTCTCCCGCTGCAGCGTGAAAGCGACAAGCTGGAGCAGGCGCGCAGTCTCCTCCGAAGCCGGAGCCCAGACCGGGCAGCAAGCGCCTTGCCGAGATCACGCCCAGCCCAAGGTGGCCACATAAGGCTTCAAGGTCGCTGTCAAAAGCCGGTCGCCAACCCTGCCTGCATAGGGCGCACTGCATGCGCTTGCACGTGAGCACGGGAGCGAGCAAGGCACAAGGCATGGTGCGCGTACAGGCCAGCGGCATGCCGTGGCCGGGCCGGCCCCCTCCGGCACAACCGGGCCAAGGCAAGCAGGGCAAACATCTACATTTTGCGGCGGGCATGGCTCGAAGCCCGGGGTGACTTCCCCACTCGGGAAGGGAGGCGTAGCCACGGTGACCGCCTCGTGCGTGCCAACGCGCGGGGTGCCAGAACGCAATTCCGGCGAGGAGGGCACAAACTCGGGCCCTGATGCAGCAGGCGCGGACATGGCACGGTTGACCGCTGGTTCACACTGGAACGGTCCTGCGGCACACGTCGGTTCCCCCAGGCTGGCCCTGCCCGCTCAGGAGTTGTAAGCGAATATGTGTCATCAAGGAAGGCAGCTATGCGCTCGCCAGCTGGCAGCTTGCCATTCGCTGCTTGCAACGCGGGATGCTGCCCCAGTGAATACAAAGCGGGAGCACAAGGTGCGCGACATCATTTGCGTCATGCCACACGTACTCGGACGGCTCCGAGTACAACATGCGAACAAAAGGCAATATGAAAGTCGCAGTCAACAGGCGCACCACACTTTCGGTGCCAGCTCGGGATGACAAGGCAAACTGATATGGCTGGCACGCGTCCTGAAACACTGATGCATTCTGCTGTGCAAGGGTGCGGGCGACCAGGCGCCGCGTGAAATCGTCAACAACAATGCCCCGCACCCTGCCATTGGGCTTGAGGAGTGCGGCCAAACGCCCTGGCGGCTTCACGGGGAATCCGGGCAGTGGCGACAAGCTGCAACACTTGCACAAACCGGTCTGACGCCTCCTCATCGTCCAGCAAAAAACGGGCGACCTTTGCAGTTAGGCCTGAAGGTCCTGGAGCTGCACCCCTTCTAGCACGCCGTAAGTTAGCAAGGACAACTTCAGGCAGGAGGTGGGCGGCGGGCTTGTCCGGTTGGAACTCGAGGATGGTCGGGTCAAGTGCCTGGTACGATTGTGTCGGGCGCCGGGCCGGATCCCGAAGCTCCGCCAAGGTCTCAGGCGTGGCTGGGGCAAGCGGGGTGGCAGTGAGCGCCTGCCGCGCAGCAGACAGCTCACCAAGGTGGACCCGCGCCGCGCTGCGCCGCGGGGCTGGCGAGAGCCCGGCCACAGGCGAGCTTCTGCAGGAAAGCCTCCGCCTCCTCTCCCCAGCGGCCGCCAACTTCTGCAGCGAAAACGATGAGGCGGCAACGCCGCGCCCCATGGCGCGACGCGCTCGGTCGCCTCCCGTAAGGCGAGGCCAGGCTCAGAGTCAGCCCGTGGGCGGCTGCTGCCGTCACGCCGGAGGGGGCTCACAAGCGTGACGTCAACTGCGACCTGGATTCCTCCGAAGGCGGGAGGGCTATTCGCGACAACCTCCAGCGGGGCCCGTGAGAAACGGGCACCCCGAGGTTCAAGTCGCGAAGGGCGTTGGTCGCAACCCGGGCTCCCGCCTCATAGCAGGCCCGTGCCGCAGCGCGCTCGAACGGGCAAGCGCGCCGGACCAGGACCCCCGCGGTGGCGCAAGCAGCGCGGTGGTCACCAAGCCCGTCAAGTTCCCCGCCACAACGGCACAGCCGCGACGACAGCGGCAGTGGGAGTCGCAATCGCCGCAGCATGACGCAGCGGGCTGCGTCGTCCGGCATGGTACGCGCGTTGGCAAGGTGGTGAGAACAACACTGCCGCCCGACCCCGCTTGAGACAGCAGCAATGCCCGAGACGCCGAATCGAGGTCGGAAAGTAGGACACGCTGGTCCAAGCAGGAGCACGCGGCTTGCTGCCATCCACGCGCAACGTCCCCGAAGTGGGACACGTCACCTGCCTGCGCTGCGTCAACCAGGGCTGCCCACGGTGGAGCCGTGAAGCCGGCAGCGCGCAAAGTAGCCTCCGCGTGCGCGGCTGCCCGCGTACATGGCGGGCCCAGAGCACCATGTGGATCAGCCAAGCCGGGCAGCAGCCGCGCCAAGATGTGCGGGTGGCGCGCGCCTATCACCAGCATAGAGTCGGGCCAAGATGCCCAGTGAGCCGCAACACGGGACGCGGCTGCGGAGCGGAGGCCCAGCCCGCCGAATCGCAGTGGGAGCTGCGCTCGCCGGAGCGCGAGCTCAGGCAGCACTAGCGTGCCCTGCCCCCACAGCAATCGCTCCAGGCACCTGGCAACTGCTCAGTCGTGTGCCTCCGCGAACCCTCCGGTGTCGCCTGGGGGCAGCACGCGGAGCAAGTAGTTGCAGCGCGGTTGGGCGCACAGCAGCAGGAGCAACCACGCGCTTTGCACGTGGGGCACACACGGTATGCGGTCCAGACCGCATGTTTTTCACGGACGCTCTCCAACGACCGGGCCACGTACGCTGCGTGCCCGAGCGGCGTGCCCAGAACGGTAATGCCCTGCGTCTCCGGCGCCCGCGTCCAGCTGCCTACCCAGTCTCGACTTGCGAGCTTGGAGGCCAGCGCTGCGGCGGACACGACGCCCAGGAGAGCGTTGGCTACCTTGGTGTCGACCTCCAGCGGCGTGATCCTTGCTGCGATGTCGAGGGAGTGCTGGTGCACCACCGTCTTGAGGCCAGGCGTTGTTGGCCGAGGCGGGCGTCCGCGCAACGTGCTGGGCTCTTCGCCTGCTGCATTCCATGCCCGCGTCTTACCCAAGTGCACGCGGACATTCGCGCGTTGCCAGCGCCTCTCCAAAAGCCTCGCAGACTCGTGACGTAAACGTCATTGAGGTAGGCATACAGGTCCTCCTCTGGGCCCAGGGCAGTGTGCGCTTGCAGCAAGGCAGCGTGCTGCCCAAGAGCGTACAGCGCCGGCATGAGCGGGTCGCCTTGCTCGCCGCCCTCGCCCTGACGGATCTCATGCACGGCCCCTTCCGCATCGTAGAAGACATAGGTGCTGGGCTGGGCATAGAACTGCGCGACAAAAGGGAGCAACCCGGTCAGGCATGGCGTCCGCTTGAAGCCGCCCAACATGCAGGCCCTCGAGATGTGGTCGTAGGCGCCGACGCCGTCAATGCTGCGTCGAGCTCCGTGGCCGCGCGCCCCGCTCGCGCGAGGGACTCTGCCCCCGCGCGAGCCTGCAAAGCATACTGGAAGGGCGCGTGCGCGCTCTGAAACGCTCCCGCGTATTGTTGTGCGAGGGTGCCCGCCACCACCCTGCGAAAGGCGTCACTCATGACCAAACCGCGGACAACTTTGCAACGCCACCGCGGCGGGCGCCACGGATTGCACTGCTGGGGGTGCACAGCTAGGTGG